GGCCCCGCCCACGATCCCGCCCCTCTCCGCAGGCCCCGCCCCGCAGGCCCGCGGACTCTTGGGCAGGTCTGAACCAGAGCTCCGGCTGGGGAGGGACCCTGTAAGGTACAAGCGCTGGGGGTCGGCCCCGGATAGCGGACGCCCCTGGGGGCGCCCTGAGCCCAGTGAAGGCCCTACTCCTCCAGAGACCGAGGAGCTGGGCTAGGGGGCAGAGCCTGGGGCGAAGGTGTTGTCCCTGGACTGTGACCACAGCCCAGTCGCCTTTCCCTCCCGGAAGGACGCCGGCCTGAGGCGGGGGGCGCGGCGGTGTGGTTAGATGCAGGGGAGGAGCTACTCTGGGGGCAGTGTGGCCGAAAGCGCGGGGGGGGGGGAGGCCTGGAGCCACCCCAGGAGTTCCTGCGAGAGACCCCGGTCTGGACGCCATGGGGGCCTGGGGCGCCGTGGGGGCCTGGGAGTGGTGCCAAGGGCTGAGGGAGAAATCACAGGTCCTAGTGACCAGCTGGACAAAGTGGTTGAGAGTGGAAGTGGGGAGGGGGCTCTGACCCGCAAAGCTCCCCCCAACCCCAGGCCAGGTCTGGGTCTTCACACTCGGTTGGAGAGGCTCTCGTTGGGCAGTGGGTAGGACTTGCCCCAGGGAGCAGTCAGGGAAGGGGGGCAGAGGGTCGTGGGTCTAGGCCGGCCCCAGGAGGCTCCTTTCAGGACTGCCGTACTCCAGGGGGAAGTGAGCAGCAGCCCCCAACCCGGCTTTGTGGGTAGACTGAGGCTGGGAGCTGGCAGGAAACCCTACCCTGGTGTCCTCTCCAGAGACAACGGGGAGCCACTGCTGAGCCTCAGTCCCCTCGTCCATACAGAGGGTCCCGGGGGCTTCTGCTTTCATGGGCGGTGAGGACTTGGGCATGACCAGGGACACGTAGAGGGCACACACAGACACAAACAAGGACCTCAGCCCTGGTACTGAAGGAGCAGACAGGGTTTGCAGTGTGGGCCTGTGCAATGCATGGACCAGGCACATGACGTGTGTGTGCCATATGTGTACCATGGAGATGTCACCCAGATGCCATGCATACCCTGTGGCTCTCAGACACACAGAAGGCCAAGGAGGACAAGATGCAGGTCACCAGGTTTTATTGGGTGGAGGAGAATTTCTCTGTTGGGGCTGACGGAATGGGGACAAGCCGAGGACGGGAGTACACACACCACCTCGGTTAGTTCCTTCATGTCTGTAGTCAGGCAGGTGGGGCAGTGCACCAGGTGGAGCCCATTTCCTGGATGGACAGCCCCCCAGCCCTGACAAGTCCCCACTGAGGGCAGCCACTCCAGGTAACGCCCAGTGAGTCACTAGGACCAGTCAGCAGGCACTGGAGAGGTGGCCAGAGCCTCGGCGGGCCGGGCGAGCCCAGCTGCAGCAGCAACAGCAGCCAGCAGGCCCCGGCAGGCGGGCTGAGGCCAGGGCCTTTCTCCGGCCACTGCCCAGCTGCTTGGCCTCACAGGCGTCCCTCTCGTCGCGCAGCCGGCTGTTCAGCTCCCTGGGGAAGGGAAGGTCTAAGGCTCTGAGAGGTCTGAGGGGGTCGCATCTCAAGGAGCAGCAATCTTGGGCGGGGCAATGCACGCTCTGACTCCCCCTCAGGCCAGCAGAGAGGTGTCTGGCTGGGGCTGCAGCATGAGGGATGGAGGCAGACATCAGGAAGGACTTCGTCCCAGCGAGAAGGGGGCGGCGGCCCAGGAATGTTTGTGAGCAGGGAGCCCACCCCGCCCCGCCGCTGACTCCCGTGGCCCGCGGCCGAGCGCCCGCACCTGAGAAGTTCCAGCTGCCGCAGGAGGCTGAGCTTCTCCTTCTGCATGTTCCTCGCGACCGCGACCACATCTCTGCGGGTGGGAGGGGTGAGCAATGCAGGAGGCTCTGCGGGCGCCCCAGAACCCTCTCAGCGGAATCCCCACGCAGGTCCGGGGGGGACGCCTGGGACGGGGATGGCCGTGAATGTGGCCCAGATCTGAGCCCCAGGCGCGACCCCGGCCCGCCCCCGCCCCCGCCCGCCGGACCCTGCCATCCAGCACCCGCGTACCGTCGCGTGTGCTCCTGGCGACTCCGCGCGTCGCCCTCCAGCCTGCGGAGCTGCTCCTGCGCCCGCTCCAGTTGCGTCCGCAGCGCCTCATTGGCCAACCACAGTTGGGAGTTCTGCGCCTGCGCCTCCAGCTGCTCTGCGGTCCGGGTCTGCAGTTCCTGCTCCAGCTGCGAGGGTTAGGTGCGGGAGCGAGGCTCGCGGGGCTGCCTTGCCCCGACGGGCTGCCTTGCCCCGATGGGCTGTCTTGCCCGGATTCCCGACAATTCTGGAGATGGGGACACTGAGGCACAGGGACACCCAGGCACCTAGGACTGCATGGCGAGGGTGGGGAGGGGGTCTGGGCCAGGGCCTCTCACCTCCCGCTGCCGTAGGACCGCACGCTCCAGCTCCTGCTCGCGGCTCTGCAGCTCCTGCTCCAGGCAGCCTCTTCGCTCCTGCTGGGGGAGGTCCTGCGACGGGCGGGGGGCACCTGAGCCGAGGGGCAGGAGCCCGGGTGGAGCCAGGGCAGTGCAGGGGGCGTCGCCAGGTAGAGAAAAGTGGGTAGGGCCCGGAAGGGTCTTACTGGGCTGGGGGTAGCCTGGAGGGCGGAGGTGGCGACCTCGGGGGCGTGGCCAACTCGGGGAAGGTGTAGCCAGGGCTAGCCGGGCTTGCGGACCCACCTGAGTGCGTAGGCGGCGGCGCTGCTCGCCGAGCTCCTGCTCCATCTCCTCGTACAGGCACCTCACTTCCCTCTCATGCTCGCTCTCCCGCCTTGTGTGTGGGGGAGGACGGCTGACTAGGACCTGCCATCACCTCAGCCCCCAGCCCCTCCTCCGTCGGGTCCCAGACCCCTCCGGCACCCAGCCCTCACCGCCGCAGCGCCTGCTCCAAGCCGTCCCGCTCCCGGGCCGTCTCCTCCAGGCAGGTCGACGCGCCCATCAGAACTTCCTCGAAGCAGCCCAGCAGCTCGGGTCGCTCGCGCTGCAGCAGCGTCCAGAGCGTACGTACTGCCGTATGCCTAGAGGGACGGGCGAGGGTAAGGCCGAACCCTAGGGGGAGGGCAGCCTGCACCCTGGTTCCCCACCATCCCCGGGGGTGAGCCCCAGGGAGAGCCCTGCGGCCCGGGACCGGCGCGTTCGCTGCCCTGCATCACCTGTCAGTGCGTGTTTTCACGCCTGCCCCGGGGGCCGTGTGTGACCTGGCTGTGCATGGTGGCAAAGAGTTGTGTGTACACGGGGCTGTGCCCGTGTGTGCATGGTCGTGTTCGAGCCGCTGCTTCCCGCTGCCACCTCCCAAGATGCAAATCACGCGGGAAATCACGCCTGCCCCTCCCAGGATTTGCAGCTGGGAGGGAAGCCCGGCCTAGGGACTCTGCCAGGGGACAGACACAGGCGCAAAGTGGAAAGACAAGACGTGCATCGACAGACAGCTGACAGGGACCGGGGCTGAGTGGGAGGCAGCATCGACTCACTCGCCCAGGACCCGGGCCACCCCCAGCTGCTCCAGCGCAGTGCAGAAACGCTCCTTGTCCTCTTCCTCCTCTTCCAGGGAGCTCCTGGGGCCCTGAGCATCTGGCCAGCCCGACTCAAAGGTCTCCTCTGCCGCCCTGGGCAGCATGCCCTGGGAAGACTCCACGCCCACAAACTTGGCTGTGGGCACGGGAAGGAGGAATTACCTAGCGCCCCAGCTACTCCTCCATCAGCATTCCCACCCTGCTCGGTCCCCCCGCCCCCGCCGCCGGCCCTCCTCCATGGCCTGCCCTCTCTCTGGGCCCAGTTTCCTGTTTTTCTTCCTCATTCTGCCCTGATTGGCCTGGGACAGGAGGTGACAGCCAGGCTCTGGCCAGCAAGGGGTGCTCCTCACTCACAGCCTCGCCTGGGTTTGTCACCGAGGAGGGAGTGGGGGAGCCGCTGGAGCAGGGGTCTTGGGTGGGTGTGCCTGAGATTCCTGTACCAACATTGCCCCCGAGGAGGTGATGGAGAGGTCAGGGTGCGTCTGTGTGGCCCACAGAGCCCTACATGTGCCAGGCCAAGGGTCTCTGGGCACCAGGGACAGGAACCAGGCTCACCCAGGCCGAGGCAGAACTCCCGAGGGGTGAGGAAGCCAGTGCGGGCCTGGTCCAGACTCTCGAACACGGCCTCCAGCTGCTCCGGCGTGAGGGGCAGGTCACTCTGCAGGCCCTGGCCAGGCAAGGAGAGTGGGGATGAGCAGTCAGGGACACCTGGGCGGACACCTGGGCACGAGGTGCCTCCTGGGGTGGGGGCTCACCTGCAGGTCGTGTCGGGTGATAAAGCCCTTGGCCTCCTTGTCACACAGCAGAAACAGCTCCTGAGCCTGCTCCAGCATCAGCGCTGCCCTCGGGGGCCCCACGGAGCCCCCCTCCTCCTCTCCTTCCTCCTCCTCGGCTTCCCCAGCGCTGGGTTTTGCCAGGCTGGCCATGGGAGTGGGTCCTGGCAGTGCTATGAAGCCAGGGAGGGGTCAGAGCCTGAGAAGGAGAAGCATGGAGGGTGTGGGGTGTGTGTGTGGAGTGTGCGCAGAGCCAGGCAGCACTTTCCTCCAGGTGGGGAGATGGGAGAAAGGCCAGATGGTGGTCCTCGGAGGAGGGCGGTGGCAGTAAGGCTCAGCCCACTGGTGGGCTAGAGTGTTGCTGGGGTGGGGTGGGGCAGGCTTGGGGCCTTTGGGAGTCGCCCTGTGTGGTCAGGCTTATAGGGACCAGGAATTGCAAAGGGAGACTTGCAGGAATGGGTGCAATCTCCAGGGGCCCCCCAGCTGCAGGGGCTAGCTACAGAAAAGCTTGAGATGGAAAGTGAGTTGTGGATGGCACCTGGCAGCCAAGAAGAGAGAGCTTGGGGTAAGCCAGTGGTCAGCCAGTGCGGAGCAGGCAGGTCCTGGAGTGGGGGACTCCTTGGCCCCTGAGTCTGGGCCTAAGCTGTCTTCCCTCCCGCCAGCTGGCCAGGTGGGGTGACTCCTCCTCCCGGTGCCCACGCCCCGCCCACCAAGCTCGGCGGGGGGAGGCCCAGGGGCTGCATGTGCAGGATCCCAGCCCCAACGTCTCCGCTTGCCTTTAGTCAGAACCGGCCCCCAGAGTCTGGGCTCAACACCCCTTCCCCGTAGCACCAGGGTCGGTGCTCCTACCCCAGGCTCGCCCCCTCCACGTCCCGGAACCTCCTAATCAGAGCCACCTGTCGTCCCCACAACGCCCTGGTCTGGGATTTCTCAATGACTCCCCTCAGCGCGGCGACACTCCCGTGCCCCGCGGCCCCACAGCCTAGGACGCTGTGGTCCTCCCGCCTCAGTCGGGGCCCTGATCCTTCCCCATCCCATACTGGGCAGGGTTGATGGGGGTTCGACCTCCAAAGAGGGCGGGTCTGAGGAGGCAGCAGGCTAGAGGAGGGGATACGAGGGGCCAGGCATCCCCCCCAGGCTGCGCCGTCGCCTCACCCGGGTCGCCGCCCCCGCCGGCGGCTGGTGGGCTCCCCTGGACCGGAGGTCCATCCCAGGCGGAAGCTGATCTCTGGCCGCCCAGGGAGGAGGGACGAGGGCTGGAGGCGGAGCCCGGAGAGCCCCCAACGACCCAAGAGGCCCTTAATCCCGGCCGTGCGCCCTCTACGGCGGCCGGGGCGCCATGCGCCGGGGCGGGCAGCAGGGCAGGCCGAGGCAGTGGTGGGACCGACCCCGAGGCGCCTACCTGGGAGCTGCGCCGCCGCACCTGCTGCGAGCCCCGGCGGCTCCTCCCGGAAACGCGCGGCGAGCCCCGCCCCGGCTCGGCGTGGACCCCCGAGCGCGGATCCCACCGTCCAGACAGCTACCAAGACCCCAGCCGGCCCAGTTCGCCGAGGCGGAGCAGTCGCCCGCTGCTGTCGCTGTCGCCGGCCGTGACCTTGCTTCTTGGCGCCGACCGGGGTGCCCCGGCCCCGCACCTCACCCAGACTGCACCCTGCAGTCGACCCCCGGAGCCCGCACCCGTCCCAGCCAGGTCCCCGCATTCTACTGCCGGCTGGCCTGAACGTGGGGTGACGATGTCAGCCCCCAGGGACCTGGGGACCTTTCCAGAGCAGGGCCAAGGGCCAAGAGGGAAGGACACCACCCTCCGGCGAGGGGCCGCCCCTGTCCTCAGGATCCCAACGCGAGGCGCCAAAAAGTGTGTGTAGGAAAAGCCGGGGCAGGAAACGGAACAAACTATTTTTAATAGTTGTCTGCAGGGGGAGGTGGCACGACTTTCTTGTCTATGTTTCCACTTTTGGTTTTTCCAATTTTTTAACAATAAACTAGCAAAACTAGAAAGTGGTGTTTAAATTAGCAACATGAGTGTGTGTGTGCATGTAGGGATTAGAGGGAGAACCCCAGCTCGGCAGCCCCCCAGCCCCGGGACTCCCGTCTGACACGGCCCTGAGTTCCCGTTGGGGAGGACTAGGTGGGGAAGCTGGGGAGGGGCTGACTGTGACCCTCACGCTGGGGGAAAAATGCCCATCTCCTTCCTGAGGGCCCTCCCTCTCCCGGCCCCGGCACCCACCTGGAGTGACTGGTCTCACCGGGATTCAGAAGCTTCTCCTCAGGGAAGGGGCCTTCGGATCCAGCTGGACCAGACAGTCTGGGCCTATCGGACAAGACCTTGAGACAGAGAGGGGACGGCCCCTGGCACACGGGACAGACTGACCGGGGACCTGCCCGGCCGGCTCTCCCAGTCCTGCAGTCCCACTACCGTTATTGTTGGCTCTCGGCTCTCACCACCACAGCCGCCCTACGCCTTCTAGGGGGGAAGGGGGGCTGGACCCAGCAAGACTAAGTGTTCTGGACACCCAGCCAAGCCCTCCTCCCGCTCTGCTCCGGTACCTCTCCTCCCATGGGTCCTTCTGGTTACCAGAAGGGCTGGCCGTATCCCCTCAGAGTGTCCAGGGCAGAGGAAGCTTTCACAAAACCCTGTCTCCCCAGAGCAAGATACACCACCCTTCACCCCACCTTGGCATTCCAGACCCTTCCTGTATACTGGCAGGCGACAAGCAGGGGACAAGAAGACAGATGGCATGTGCACCTGGCCAGCAAGTCTTGGGATGAACGTGAAAGGAGAGTTTTGCCCTCTAGGCCAAGTGCCCAGGAGGGCAGGGGCCCCAGCTCTGGGGCCTCACCCACACACAGCTATCCCACCTGGGATCTGCCCCACACCCATGACGTCACCAAGTGGGAGGAGCGGCCGGCGGCACTACCTTTTGTAAACATTGCTTAGTTTTTATTAAGCAGGGTTCTGGTCCCAAATCTTTCCAGCGGCCTTTGGAAAGCTATGCCCAGTGCTAAGCCAGCAGGCCATGGAGCAGAGCGGGTGCATATATATGCGCAGAGCCAGAGGGTGCCCCGGGAGAGGGTACCAGGCCCGGCTGGCGGGCCGCAAGTGCCAGGCCAAGGACAGTGGTCCTAAGGCGAGAGGAGAGACCAGGAACAGCTGGGGGAGGGGAGCGGCGGGGGCAGCTCTTTCACCGGGAAGCCACACGGGGGTAGGAATTACACACAAGGGGAGGAGGCAGTGCTAAGCTGTAGTTTTTATTAAATCTGCTTTAGCGAAAATAAATAATTCTTGACACACATTCCTCAGCGCAACATGGAGAATCGGGAGGGGGAGCGGGTGCAAAGTTCTCCGGAGTAATACTGCACTGCTGGCGGGCGCCGCCCAGGGCCGGTCCCGGAGCCCCCCGGCCGCCCCGTGCCCCGGCTCCCCCAGCTCTGGGCCTGGCCGGGGGTGCGGGCGGGAGGTTAAGGCACAGGTGAGGGGGCCATCTGCAGGAGGGAGAGGTCGTCCGCACCCCTCCCCACTCAGTGCAGTGGTCAGTGGTTTGTGGGAGAGGGAGTCACAGCAAGCGCCCCTCCCTGCAGCTGAGTGGCCCCACGCCCTCACTCTGCAGCCCATGCAGAATGCGGAGGAGGGTGGGGGGGCCTTAGCCGGCCCCAGGGCCCTGCATCACCAGGCACGGTGGCTGGTGCGGGGGCCGGCCCTCGGCACCGAAACCCCAAGGGGCTTGGGAAGGCCGGGCGGGGGCGCTC